TATAAAGTTATTTTTTATATTTTAAAAATTTAAGTTTTAATATATATATATATATATATATATATATATATATATATATATATATATATATATATATATATATATAGGGTTTTGCTAACCTACTACGTAGTTGTAGTAGGTTAGCATTGTATGCACATTTGATATCTCTAAAATATCCTTATTATTTGCTACTACCATATTAAGTTTAAGGATTTTTTTTGTCCTTTTACAAAATTTCACATTTCATCTCTACATTTCCCAAAAGTAAACCCAACTTCTGAGAATTCTTTCCTGTCAATTACCCTTTACCTCTCTCCTCTCTCGTCCTACTTGCTTCCTCTTCTACTTTCAACATAATTTGATAAAGCTTAATCTAAATCTTCCATGAATTTCATCTAAATTCTCCTATCTTCTTGTTCCTTTCAACTGAATGAAATTTTTCATTTTGTAGATCTCTATGAATGTTCATCCCGTGTTCCTAGATTTTTAATACTATACAAGTAGAAAAACCGTGTTCCTAGATTTTTAATACTATACAAGTAGAAAAACCTTTTAACAGTCTTGTTATTCAGTGATCGAAGAACAACTAAAGCTGAATCTAAAATTAGTTGAAACAATAATGGTGGGTTCTATCGAATAAAATCAGATTGAATAATTGTTGTATTTAAACAAATCTACAAAAAACTTACACCATGATTCTGACATCGAAATAAGAGAATTTGAATATTAAACTCCTACCTTCATACCAATAAAACCCCTTTTAGAATTTGAGAAGAACAATGGCGAGAGAAGAAAAATAGAAGGGAAAATATTTCTCGCTAGCTGGAGTGTGGGAAATGTAGAGATGACTGTGAAATTCTATAAAAGGACAAAAATATTCTTAAATATAATATGATGGTAGCTAATAATAAGGGCATTTTGAAAATATCAAATGTGCATACAATGCTAACTTACTGCAACTATATAGTAGGTTAGCAAAACCCATATATATATATAAGGTTAAAACTTAAATTTTTAAAATATGAAAAATAACTTTTAAAAATGGTGGGCCGGCCCATGAGGGCCCATGACCCACATAGGGTTGGGTTGGCCATTTTAATGCCCATTGTAATACTGGGTCAACCTAGCCTAGCCCATCAAATGCCAAAGCCCGTATGGACTATGCTAGGTTGGATTGGGCCAGCCCGTATTGATAGCTCTATGTCTCACTATTGTTTATATTGCTCCATTTAAGTCGTGGTAATTTGATTTATTCCTTAAACTAGTAATCTGTTGGGGAATTCTTAAGCGAGATTTGCTATTAAGATTCATTGGTTCTCTAACATTGATTTGGAATTTGCTATAAGATTCAATGGTTCTTTAACATTGATTGGGGACATCTCTAACATTGGCATTTTCTAAACTCCTTATTAATCTCCTAATTACGATTATTTTGTGTTTAACAAATGGATTGATAAAAAGATTCGAGTATCCAAGTGTAAAGCTTTTGTGCACGTCCATTTCGGTATCCTGTTTCTCCTTTCTTTTTCACGTCTTCCATTTTTTTATCATACACTTAAGTCGGAAACTTGGATGTGTATGTGAGTAATTTTAGTAATACTATATAACAACTTTATAATTGTGTAAGGAAGAGTTAGACCATGCCTTACTACTCCCTATAGAAAATTATACAAGCCTTCTTCTTTACAGAATGTCTAGTTTCTCCAATAAATTAGTCCTAAATTTCACCAAAATAATGCAAACCACTTTCATCCTCCTGAAAACCTTCTATGCTACTTCTTGATAGCAAGAGAATTATGAATATACAAAGCCACACAATCAAATCAAAACTAGTTCTAAACAACCATTTATATCTCTGCAGTGAATTTCAAGTGCAACAAGAAATTCAAATTACTACTATTACCTATGCCTCCCAAGTATGAGAGTGCAACATGAATGAGCAAAATACTAGGAAAGGTACAGAAACCTTCAATTTACTTTCTAGAGGACCTTCAAAAACTGCTGCTGAAAGAAACTTCTGTTGACACCACAAAATTATGGCATGACAGCAATAAGTGGATCACCATAACCAACAGCGTCTGTGATGCACCCACAGATGGAAAGAGTAAGTTCAGATACCCCAAGAGAACATGAATGAAAGAATGTTAGATATCTATGAGCCTCGCATTCACTGCTGTTAAGTACATCTCAAATATTCACATTAATTCTTGAAACCAACAAAAAAAAGCATCTCCTTAGAGTTTTGGTGTCAAGAAAGCAACATTGAAAGAGCTACATCTCAAAAATTCAGATTAATTCTCAAAACCGAAAAAAGCATCTTTTTAGTGTTTTGATGCCAAGGAAGCAACATTGAAAGAGCTGCTTGGTACCCAAAAAAGAAAGTGCTCAGTTAATAACCATGTATAAATGGGTCATGAAATACATCTCTAACCAGTCCATCAGAACCATCTTTATGCACAAAACAGCTAAAGTTCATCTATCAATTAGATTTTAGCAACAAAGAGTGGCAGCACCTGAAAGCTTAGGATATCAAAGCCATAATGAGAAATTGTCCTTGACTCATCACCTTGTGATCAGCCAATTTAATCCATAACAATTCTAGTATTTTTATTAAGGTAATTTGTAATAGTAGTGTTTATTATAATAATTCTGTAATTACAATGTTATCAGTCTTTGTAATTCTTGTATGGACTTGCTTTTTAATCATTTCGCATCTCACCTGAACTTTTTCTATTTAACAGTTGTTGATTGTATTACATTATGTACAACATGATATGCTAGTGTCATTCTATGCTTACCCTTTTAATCCAGCTAAACCAGCTCGTCCCCATCTCACATCTGCAGATAACCCCAAACCCTGAATTGCTTTTTAGTTATTACTTCACATCAATGTATGACTACAACTATTATTGCTTTACATCAACTAAAGTTACTTTTCACATATTGAATCTTGAATCCTCGGATCTAAGTGCTTCTTTTCATAGCTCAAATTTAGAATTAATTGCCTCCCTAGTTGCATCTTACTGTAAAATTAGCACATTGTGGAGAACGATGCCTTCTACATAGTTAAACAACTTCACTAGATGATAAACGCGAAGCGTTACATGCTGGGTTAAGAAAGTAAATTTAAATAATCTGCTCAAGCCTATAAGATGATGTCTAACAGTCGTTGAGTAAATTTTTACAATTCAGCGACAATGATCTGTAAATGTGAACTCAAAGAATCATCAATCATGCATATATACACACTGATGCAGAATCATTAGCACAGTTCAAACCATCAGAAATCAGGCTAGTAGGAGAAATTAACAATTCTTCAATTCAAGAAGAGATACAACTAACTCAACAGCCACAATTTCTTTTTATATCAGGTCCACTCCTTAAGAAACTTCTATTTTGAAAATGACTACATCACAAAACAATTTCGAGTCAAAAGAGGCTGAGACCTCAAATCCTGGATTCTGGTTTTGAAAATCTGATATGCACTACAGTAGGTCATTTAGCAGAAAAAACTGCAACTAAGACAGTTTGAGGCATAAAACAACAATCTAAAAAAGAAAGAAAAATTAAAGAAGCATACCGCCATCATTACAGAGAAGTTTCAAGACCTCTCCAGCTGCATCTGACTGCTCAACATGAAAAGAGAGAGGTTAGCAGATATACCAACAATGAAAATCAATATGTTAGCAGAAAAAGTTTTCAAGGATGTACTTTAACCGCGAGTTCCGTCCCAAACTGATCCAGAAAGCCAATAGTCTGTCCCACTTTAATAACATCACCCTGCACTCAAGTTCAAGGCATGTATAGGGTCAATCATCAAGTTATAATCCCATAAAGTGCAGGTCAAGTTCAATCCTTTTTCTCTTTTATAAAGTAAGGTAATTTTATTAATGTTTAGTACCAAGAACATACAGTAAAAGTACAGAAGATTAACTAGGTAAAGTTCAATCCCACCATAAGCTACGGCTAAAACAGTATACATGAGATCAAACAATGGCCTACTGAGTTCCAAGACCCAACAAAAACGTTGGTGCTATGAGTGCTTAGACCTTTATACAACCAAATTTGTAGATGCAGAGTGCAAAACATATACATAAGCTAGAATTCTCAGCTCCTCCAGTTCTATCTTCCAAATGTTTTAGTAATTCAGTATAAGAGAATCTTTATGTTTGCAACACTTGGCAATTACAACCATCCAGTGGCCATTGGAGAGATGAAAATTTAAGCTACTCAAATTTAAGAAAAAGAAGTTAGTTGTTATCATTACTTGTTTCCAAAAAGCCATCAAAAGGAAAAAAGAATAAACAACTCAAGAATATCTGGATGATGGATTTGTTATGGGTACCTCTTTACAAGCAGGTGGCTGCTTCTTTCCTTTTAATGTCCTTGCCCTTCGGAATGAACCAACCTATTGGAAAGAGGTTAAGAAAGTTATTGCTCACTTCATAAAAGATACATCAGAAAAGGGTTCAATAGGTAACCAATACTTACTGTTGGGGATGATACAAGAACATAACCATTAGCTCCAGTGGCTTGTAAAGCTGCTAATTTTTCTGATATCTCAACGTCAACATTTGTAAATGGACTTATCTTTTCTGAGGAAGATTTCATAGAGGATGCTGAAACTGCTGGTTTACTTGCACTAGGAGGTGGTGATGGTGGTGGAGAAACAACCGGCGCATGCACTATTGGAGATTCAATATTCCGCTTCAAGTGCATTTCAAAACCTCCAACCTGTGACAAGAACCACAATGATCAATCATACATGAAAGTGAAAATACATAAATCCTTTTTTTCGGATAAACATAAGAAATTTTAAAATAGATAGTTAAATAAACATAATCCTTACAAGTCAAACCAACAAAAAGAATTCAGCAAACTTGCAATTATTGCCATATTAAAACTGCAAGGTTAGTTGATCAAGTGATGTAATTAACAAATACGTATCTTACTATGCTAATCATTTCACAGTGATCCAGAAACCAAAACAAAAAACGAAAATGACTGTCCTATTCATTACACGATTTTCTATGATCACTCTTAAAGAAACTTGGATATCACTGACTGCCTTTCAAATAAAGCGGAAAGATCTTCAATTTTAGACTCTTCTTTGATGTCACATTGTTGTACTATTCACCTAAAGATGCATATTCAATACAGGATTGTCAAATTCTACAGAGCTCTATGCACTAGATGCCCCTTTGTTTACTGTGCACCAATTATGTATGAAACTGGCCCCAATCCCACCCGTGCAAAATGCTAAGTTGCTCGGGCTCTTCACTTTTGGTGCCGCACCCGTGTCAACACGATGTGGGTGTGAGTGTGGGATTCGTACTGGATGTGGTCAATCGATTTGGGTACTTTGACCAATATCAATGGAGAATTTTAAGACAGATCAATGATTTCTAAAAGCAAAACAAAAGCTAGGGTAAAATTGAAGAAAATAGAATATCTTGTATATAGAAATTTTTATGTCGGTCCTTTTCCTTTTATCTCCTCGGGTTCTCCTCGTGATGAATATTTTCTCCTTCTCGGAATACCTTACAAGTTTTCCACATAAATTAGACATTATTATAACTCCTCACAATTTAGACATTATTATAACTCTATTTTTAAATATTTGAGTTATCTTTAGCCGAATCCCCGCACCCGTATCCGTACCCGGATCCATACCCCCCAATTTTAAAATTTAGATCATGAAGGATCCGACCTCTAGATCTGCCCCCATATCGGACACCTACACTCGAGTCGGAGCAACTTAGGCAAAATGACCACCAATGATCTACCAAACTTTTGGATCAGAACTGCTGATAACAGCGAGTACCAATTCAAGACATGTTAAGCAATCCATTCTAACAAACCGAAGTATGTTTTTACTGGTCGGATTGGTCTACAATCCGTAGACTGCCACAAGATGAAAGTCTAGTTGGTAAATGATAGACTCCTTTAAAAGTATACTTGTAGGCTACCGTGTTTTTTTTTTTTTTTTTGATTGTTAAAGGAAGTAGGCTACCGTGTAATTTCATTCACAGTCATACTCTAGCGGTAGACAGTGCATAATGTAGAACTCTGAATCTCATTCTGTTTGCAAGTATGTCAGGCTTCAAAATTTGCTTTGGTTAATTCCAACATGTTAAGTTTTTACCATCTTAAGACTACAGCAGTATCATATATTTGCATTTCTGGAACTTCGCAAGCTCCTTAACAAATAAAAGGCATAACACTGATTCCAGAGTACACATGAAAAGACAGAGTAGCAGGCACGGTTACCTTAAGTTTCAGCTCAGCAATCTCTGTATCATCACAGACTTTTGTAATCAAAGCCTGATGTAAAGCAGACAAGAACAATCATAACGCTGCAAGTCACAGCTAGTGAGGCTAAGCCCATAAGCTTATGTCTGGTATAAGGAAGCAGTTCAAAAGAAAGATGATGCACCAATTTCTCCGAGAGATATGATCTTGAATTTGTCCTTAGAATTAACAAATTAACATTGTGATTATGGGTTAGCCAGAAAAATGAACAAAGATTTTATAAATCATGCCACACTGGAAAAACTGTCAATGGATTAAAAAAAAATGCAAACTGACTTAACTTGGCTCAGGTTGCTGATTTCTTGGTTCCTAAACAGCTCAATAGGTGCTTGCGTGAATATGAAACAAAATCCATGCGACTTATTCTTTTGTTCAGGAGGACCAATTATTTCAGGAGTTACACATTCCTGATCTTATGCTGGATAACACTCATAAGGCATAAAAGCAAAATGACACAAGTATAAACTAACCTCAAAACCTTTAGGAAATGTATCTGTTGGCAGTGAAATCCTTTGAACTTGCACTTTTTGCTGGTTATCTAATAGAATTCAATCTAACAGTTATAAATGAGAAGGGAAGCAGTAGCAGAAATAAAAAAGCATGAGACCTATTTTCCACTCTTTTAAGAACAATACAGAAAGGGCAAAGTTCAGACTCCAATAAAAGTTCCAACTTAGAATAGAGTAAGACTATGGTTGCAAGCAACATGAGAGGGGAGATATCAAAAACTAACTGATGCATCTAATAAGCCAAAAAGAAAAGAAATTTTGTCATGCAATGCAATAACCAAGTAGAAAATAAAAATTAGAAAAGGATCAGCCCCAAGATACTGATAGAAACCTAGACATAACTCACCTTCAGATTTAGCTGTCACAATTGTTTCAGAGGTCTTTGCACATGACAATATTAATCTGCCATTCTTGTTTGAAGAAGACACAAGCTTTGCATCATTTAGAAAGCCCTTGATGGGAAACATTGTTAGGTTGGAGAAGACAACATTATTCGCCGGAAATACTCCAGGCATTTCTGATACCGACTTCAAATGGGAACTGGTGTGTACAAAATCTGTACTAAGAAATAGTTAGATGTCATATCAGCATGAAACTGAAGGTTAGCTTCAATTGATTGACAAGTATCTATGCAAGGAAACAACTGCCATAACTAGGAGTTACTCACAAACATCGACATCCCCAATTTGTGTTTTTTTTGCTAATACAAATGTTTGTTACTTCTTGCTTCCCAAGAAGGGGACTAAGTGAATTTTTGACTTATATCTATAATGTAATATCACCATTTTTAATACAATAGAAACCTGTACTTTATATGTATTACTAGTACTTTTCATGCAGTTTCAGAATATTTTAATTTAAAAAGAAATTAATAGTCGGATCTTGGGTAATTAGTTCATCTCAATAAGAAAAAAAGCGCCAAACAGATTGAGACAGAAGTTAGTAGTAGTAATTACAATGATCTGTACATTCAAATCTTGGTAGTATTCGAGATGAAATATAAGACGTAAAACAGAAATGCCAGCTATAACTCATATATATATGAAAATGAAATATTAGGAAAAGAATATTAAGAGCTTAGATTCTTCTAGATAAGAGCAGAAGTGAAATACATTACTAAACAAAACAATTCATGTACATGCAGACACAATTGTGAATATATACAAATGAGAGAAGGGTGAGAGAGAGTTACGGTGAAAGGAACGATGAACAGCGGCGGACTCCATGCTATGCTGATCAGAGAATAAAGGAAAATAAGGAGGAATGTGAAGAGAAACAGAGAGATCGGACGATAAAAAAGAATTTAAAGCTGAGAGACTCCTATAAATGAAGATTGATGATAGCTATTAGCACAGTTCGTGATTTGCGTGTGCAATTTCAATTGAAATGTCCGCCCTCTCCTTAGTTTCTTCACCCACTACTAGGGGGTATCAGTGGTTCTTTAAAAACGCCTACAAAAACCGAACTAATTATTAGATTTCCTTGAATACAGTTATATAATTTTATAGGAATTTATATCTGTATGGATAATTAGGGTAGATTTTAGTTTTATAAAAACAAACCAAAAATATCAAATAAATAATATATATTTTATATATTAAGTTTAAAATAATAAAACATTAATTTTTTCCTTGGGCCTTGTGATTATTGAAACGTTTATAAGCCAACAAGTAATTAAAATTCAAAATCTCAACTCTTAAACCTATTACGCAACTCCTATTGAAACTAAATTAGTTCTAGCTAGTATCTTGAGTAGCAAGTCACGGGTATTTCGGCGATCTTGAGTAGCAAATCATAAGGTATTAAACATCTTTCGTCTCGTATAATTTAAATTTTTTAGTTGAATACTTAATCTTCTAATAGACTCTATTCTTGAGTCAAATCTTGATTAATATATTGCAACATTCTGATCTACATTTCTCTTGTCTTTGCTTAATTTATCTTATATTATGATAGAATAGTAGGATAAATCTCTGGCTATCTTTCATATTCTCTTGATTCATCTTCTTTCAAACTGTAAAAAAGTCTAGATAGTTTTGCAAAAGTCCTACGAAAGTCGCATCTTATCGCGTTTTAACTTTTATTAACGACTATTATATGACATTTTAAGAAAAATACAAAAAATTAACCGAACCTTACCGATAATGAAGAGAAATCGAGATGATTGAGATGGTTTCGAATGTTATTAAGCTGTATTCAAACCAGAAAATCAGAAGACATTAGTTCCAGAAAACAAAAATAAAAAATTACGAGCCCACAAGTTTTAAGGAATTTAATCCCTTCACAGTTGCCCAAGGTTCCGAATTATTTCCTCACAGGATAGAACGGAATAACTATTTTGTGATAGCGGCACTACAAATCACAAAACTTCAGCAAACTCAAATGGCGAAGCAAATCACACAAAATGCTTACGTTTTTGCTTTGTAAAAACAATGCAGAAGATAAAGGGGAGAGATTTTCAGATTCTTAAGTAAAAAATGAGGCTGAGCCTCTCTAATTATAGCCAGCAGAGTTGAGTCCCAACAGGTGCAAAAGTGCCTGTTCGTTTGAAGAGATATCTATTCGACGGAATTTCTGTTAAAACGGAATGTCGCGAATTTGACCGTTGGAAAATAATGCTGCGAACTTAATATTTTTTCACGCAAAAATATTTAGAAAGAAAATATTTAATGACGAAAATGGAAATTCAAATCTAAATCCGAGCCGAAGCCGAGCGACGATAATGACGGCACGAGGTTTGCTCTCTTCTCAACTCTTTAAGAGCTAGAAGAAGTGCTTCTATATATAAGCACAAGAATTTTTCTCTCCTATCCAATGTGGGACAAAGTTCCTTTGCAAAAGGGACTAATTCAAATCATTTCCCTTCATTTCTTTTCCCACCATTTTATATTCACACCTCTTTTTGTTTTAATTAAAAAACCTACAATCCCCACATGAATGGGGAATGGCTATCTGAAAAATATGCATGAAAAAACCGTGTAATTCGCAAGTAAGGATTAATCGTATCTGGATAAGTAGGTTTCCCTTTGAACTTTCCGTAGTGAACATATGTCAGATATACTCGATCAATCGATAAATTTTATATCTTTGAACCGTCGAACTTTGGTATATACCTAGATAGCCATACGTTATACAATCAACCCTTAACCGTCTTTGGTTCTCATTGTTGTGTTCGTTTCAGCCATGAACATCGCCTGGTTTCATAAGTGCATAGAGAACTGGCCTTACAACATTCTCCTTGAAAGTGGCTTACACTTCACACTTACATAAGTGATTCCTAAACGTGTTATCCCATAGATACACTATTTGATATACCATGTATCAAACTTAGAAACCATTAAAAAGCCTTAACGTTTTATCCTCGGTACTGAACATTGTCTTCATCATGAGAATGGACCAAAATTTTATTTGACAATGTTGAATTGTCACTAATGACTTTGTTTGATCTTCTTGAACCTAGATCTTGGGATCTCCAGTCTTCTAGGTAGAGGTACAGCCACAGTGACTTGTCATCGGCCATAGTCCCATTTCGTTTGATGACTTCTCAACTACCTCTCTAGTTAGGACTTTTGTAAGCGGATCTGATACATTATCTTTTAACTTTACATATTCAATTGTGATAATTCCACTAGAGAGTAGTTGTCTAACGGTATTATGTCTTCATCGTATGTGACGAGATTTTCCGTTATACATAACGCTCCCAGCCCTTCCTATTGCCGCTTGATTGTCACAATGTATGCATATTGGTGCCAAAGGTTTGGGACAAAATGGAATATCTTTCAAGAAATTTCGGAGCCATTCAGCTTCTTCACCTGCCTTATCTAAAGCTATAAACTCATACTCCATTGTAGAGCGGACGATACATGTCTGTTTGGACGACTTCCAAGACACTGCTCCTCCACCAATGGTTAAAACCTATCCATTCTTGGATTTTGATTCTATTGATCCGGTGATCCAATTTGCATCAATATATCCCTCAATAACTGCGGGATAATTATTGTAATGCAAAGCATAGTCTTGGGTATATTTCAAATACCCCCAAATCTCGTTTCATTGCTATCCAATGAGCTTGGTCGGGAGTACTTGTGTATCGACTAAGCTTACTTATCGCACAAGCTATATTAGGTCGTGTACAATTAATAATGTACATCAAACTTTCCAATACTCGAGCATATTCCAAATGAGACTTGCTTTGGCCTTTATTCTTCACAAGAGTATGGTTTAAATCAATTGGCATTTTTGCAACTTTAAAGCCCAAATATTTGAACTTTTCAAGTACCATTTTAATATAATGAGATGGAGACAAAGCTAGACCTTGAGGAGTCTTAAGGATCTTAATTTCCAAAATTAAATCGGCAACTCCTAAATCTTTCATATCAAAATTACTAGTAAGCATGTGCTTAGTAACATTAATATTAGCAATGCCGTTACTCATTATCAACATATCATCCACATATAAATAAACAATGACTATTTGATTTGGAGATTCTTAATGTAAACACATTTTTCACACACATTGATCTTGAAACCATTTGACAACATTGTTTGGTCAAATTTCGTATGCCACTGTTTTGGTTTGTTTTAGTCCGTAAAGTGACTTAACAAGTCGACGCAGATTCTTTTCTTTTTTGGGAACTACAAACCCTTCAGACGGTTCCATATAAATTTCTTCCTCCAAATCTCCATTTAAGAAGGTTGTCTTCACATCCATCTGATGGATTTGAAGTCCATACACGGCGGCTAACGCTATTGATAACCGGATAGATGTAATCCTTGTTATCGGTGAGTATGTGTCAAATTAATCAAGTCCTTCTCGTTGTCCTAAACCTTTTAACAACTAATCTTGCCTTATAATTGTTAATAGTACCATCAACTTTCATTTTCCTTTTGAAAATCCACTTAGAACCCAAAGGTTTATTTCCTGGAGGATCAACCAATTCCCAAGTATGATTACTTAATATGAATTCTATCTCACTATTGACTGCCTCTTTCTAATATTGTGCTTCCGAGGAAGACTTGCTTCTTTGAACGTTTGAGGCTCATTTTCCAACAAGAATGCCAGAAAATCTGGTCCAAAGGAAGTAGTTGTCCTTTGACGTTTACTACGTCTTGGATTTTCCTCATTAAAAATACTTTCCTTTGCTTCTTCCCGAGGTCGCTTAGATTTTTCACTAGACGGCTCACATTCTATTTTATGCGGATAAATATTCTCAAAGAATTCAGCATTACCTGATTCAATTACCATATTAATATGAATGTCATGATTTTTTGATTTATGAACCAGAAAACGATATGCCTTACTATTTGTTGCATATCCTATGAAAACGCAATCAAAAGTATTTGGTCCAATCTTTACCCTTTTAGGTTTAGGGACTTGCACTCTATCCAAACACCCCCACACTTTAAAATATTTTAAGTAGGGTTTCCTTCTTTTCCATTTTACATATGGAATTGATTGCATTTTGCTATGGGGAACTCGATTGATTATTCGGTTAGCTGTAAGAATAGCTTCCCCCCACAAGTTCTGAGGTAAATCAAAACTTATTAACAAGGCAGTCATCATCTCCTTTAACGTTCTATTCTTTCTTTCTGCAATTCCATTAGATTGCGGTGAGTAAATGGTAGTTGTTTGGTGAATAATGTCATATTCCAAAAATATTTCTTCAAAAGGAGATTCATATTCGCCACCCCTATCACTTCTTATCATTTTGATCTTTTGGTTTAGTTGCGTTTCAACTTCATTTTTGTATTGCTTGAATGCATCAATTGCTTCATCTTTACTATTAAGTAAGTAAATACAACAATATCTAGTACTGTCACCAATAAAAGTTATAAAAATACTTTTTCCCACCGCGAGATGGTATTGACTCTATTTCGCAAATATCTATGTGAATTAAGTCTAAAGGATTTGAATTCCTTTCAATGACTTATAAGGATGTTTAACATACTTTGATTCTACACATATTTAACATTTCGAGTTATTGCATTCAAACTTAAGCAATATATCCAAATTAATCATTTTCTCGCAAAGTTTTGATGTTGATGTGACCTAAACGTTCATGCCATAAATTATTTGACTCAAGCAAGTAAGAAGAAGCTAAAATTTTATTCATACCAATGGCAATTACATTGAGTTTGAAAAGTCCCTCAATCAGGTAACCTTTTCCTACATACATTTCATTCTTACTAAGTACAACCTTGTCGGAAATAAAAACACACTTAAAGTCGTTCTTGACTGGAAGTGATGTCGAGACTAAATTCTTTTGCATTTCAGGAACATGAAGGATATCGTTTAGAGTGAAAATCTTGCAAGAAGTCATCTTCAAAGCTATCTTGCTAATTCAATCAATTTTTGCAGTAGCGGAGTTTGCCATAAAAATTGTCCCGTCGGGTCCAGCTGGAGCGTAAGAAGTAAACAACTCCTTGTTAGCACAAACATGACGAGTTGCCCCCGAATCAATCCACCATATCTAGGATTTCCGACTAGGTTTCATTCAGAAAGCATGACACATAAATCGTCTATTTCATCATTCTTCTCGATCATGTTTGTCCTTCTTTGGTGCGTGGCAGTCAGCAGTCCCGTGTCCAACCTTTCCACCATTGTGGCAGTTAACTTTGAACTTCTTTTTGCTCGGGTAATTCTTTGGTCCAGTCGGCTTCTTTCTCTTTTTTTTTGTTGAAGCTTCCTCAACAATATTTGCACCCATTATTTTTGAATTTCCACGAGGCTTCTTTTCCGCAGCCTTGTTGTCCTCTTCAATCCCTAGGCGAACAACAAGGTCTTCGAACGTCATCTCCTTGCGCTTATGTTTCAAGTAGTTTTTAAAGTCCTTCCACATTGGAGGCAACTTTTCAATAAATGTCGTAACTTGAAATACTTCATTTATGACCATACCTACAATCATAAATTTAGAATTAATAATCTTATCAATATCTTTAATAAAAATATTGTTTCGATTTATACCTTCAGCAAGGAGGTCATGAACGATGACTTGCAGTTCTTGAACTTGGGTTATGAGAGACTTACTGTCAACCATTTTTAAGTCCAAGAACTTTGCGGGAACAAACTTCTTAAGTCCAACATCTTCCGTCTTGTACTTCTTATCAAGAGCGTTCCACCATTCTTTCGAAGTTATCATAACACTGTAAACGTTGTACAAACTATCTTCCAAACAACTCAATATATAATTTTTGCACAAGAAGTCAGAATGCTTCCATGCCTCTGTGACCCCGAAACCGTTAATTAGTCAGAGTCTCTTCTCCCAAGACTGGAACGTCCTCGTGATAAAGCGCTGCACACTGACTGTGGTCAGGTAGAAGAACATTTTCTGCTGCTAGCGTTTAAAGTCCACGTCGGAAAATTTTTCGGGCTTTTTTGCCGGTGCCATCTCCGGTGCAGGCATTGTGCGACTTGATGACGTAATAGCCGTTGCAGCTGTATTTATCCCAACAGAACCATTTTGTTGTTCCGTACTTATTGTCATTTTTCGGTAAAAGAAATTTACACAAATAGAATTAGTATCTCGGTGACGTTTTTATATCTTCAAACCACAAATACAAACAACCGAGTAGAAAATCACAAGGATTTTAATCTCGAATTAGTAGAAAGTCACAAAGACTTTAATCTCAAACTGGAGTAGAAAATCCGAGATTTTAATCTTCAAAATGGGAGTAGAAAATCACTATGATATTAGTCTCCCAAATCAAAAAATATGATGAACACATATTTAAATTCCTTAAGCTTGTTATTAAGTTGTGTTCAACCTAGAAAATCAGAAGACTTTAGTTTCAGAAAACAAAAATAGAAAATTACGAGCCCTCAAGTTTCATGTGTGTTATTAAGGAATTTAATCCCCTCACAGTTGCCCAAGGTTTTGGATTAATTCCTCCCATGATAGAATGGAATAACTATTCTGTGATAGCGGTACTTCAACTCACAGAACTTTGGCGAACACAAATGGCGGAGCAAATCACACAAAATACTTACGTTTTTTTTTTGTAAAAATAATGCAGAATGCAGAAGATAGAGGGGAGAGATTTTCAGATTCGGTGGTAAAAATTGAGGCTGAGCCTCTCTATTTATACCCAACAGAGTTGAGTCCCAATAGGTGTAATTGTGCCTGTTCGTTTGAAAAGGTATCTATTCGACAGAATTTCTGTTAAACGGAATGGCTGATCGCGAATTTGACCGTTGGAAAATAATGCTGCGAATTTAATATTTTTCCGCGCAAAATTATTAGGAAAGGAAATATTAAATGACGGAAATGGAAAATAAATTTGGTGCAAAAAATTATCAATCAATTATATCAAGCCGAAGCCAAGCGGGCGACGACTGCGGCGCGAGGCTTGCTCTCTTCTCAACTCTTTAAGAGCTAAAAGAAGCGGTTTTATATATAAGCACAAAAATTATCCTTCTTCGTATCCAATGAGGGACAAAGTTCCTTTGTAAAATGGACTATTTTAAAATTTTGTTTCCCTCAATTTATTTCCCACTATCTTCCATTCATATCTCTTTTTGTTTTAGTTAAAAAACCTAACATCGAAAAGTCTAATTTTGATTATACAAAATAGAGTAATCGAAAATTGATGGTATGAATTTTATAAAATAACCAGCCGAACTCCATCAAGAGCCCGTGGGATTGACATAAAAAAGTGGCTTTTAAGTTAAGTGCTTAAAAGCACTTTATAAGTGCTGGAGCTTATTTTATAAATAAGCAGTTACATGTTTGGATAAAAGTGCTGAAACTGAAAATAAACTGATGAAGTGTTTGGTAAAGAAGTGCTGGTAAGCACTTTTTCTTGTTAAAATGACTGAAATATCCTTAAAGTTGTTAATACTATAAAGAAGATGATTACTATAATATTATACTTTTCGTTCATAGCTTCAAATTCAGGGGTAACACGTAAATCCATTGAATTATTTGATTTTAGAATGTAGTTACACCAATTAAAAAAAGGAAGGATACCAACTGTGGTAATTGGTACAAAAGAAAATAAGAGAAATTTATTTTATCTTTTGAAACGGATGATTGTTACATTTTTGTCTTGTGTGTTTGCTATTTTTTTCTGGGTTGGTAAATGGGATTCGAATATGTAAAAGTGTTCAAATATGTAAATGGGAAGACAAATGTAAAATATGTTCGAATATGATTAGTTCATTTGCCCTTTAATTTCATATCAATTTAAATTCAGTTTCTTTATTGTGTCGATTTTTGCAATTGAATTTCTCCGTCAATTAAACTTCTCCGTCACTGTTGTGCTGCTGTGAGTCGCGCCGCAAGTCACCACAGATTGCCATTCCGTCAGCGATCTGTTCAACCACCAAATTTCCAACAACTTTCCGATTTCTAGGTTCTATCTCTTCATTTTTAGTTGCAGTTTTTTAGTCGGTTTGTTCTTTCTTGCGTCAGTTCTTGTACTTGTTATTTACTTGTTCCGGACACCGTTAACTCGTTGAGTTTTCATATTTCTTAGCATATTTTCTTTATTATTAGCATATTTTTTCTTAGCATTTTAGTAGCATATTTTTTCCTTTCACAGAAGTTTTTAAAAAAAAAAAGAGAAGAGAAGGAAAAGGAAGAAAGGATAATACTGTTAGTATATTCGTTTTACTAGTTCATTTAACTTTTTCCAATCTTAAAGCTGGTATATCTTATTTTTGATTTTCATATTCTTAGTATATTCTCCTCTGTTCTAGCCTACTGTTGGTTGAGTGATAGTGATTAAATAATACCCTTAGTCTATAGTGGCTTTGGTTTACGATGTGAGAGTAAATTCATGTCCTCGGGTGGGGCGGGAGGTGGGGTGCAAGGGTGGGAAGGGGGACAAGGTAGCTTCTAGGCTGAGAGTTGGGTCCTGGAACATAGAGACGTTGACGGGTAAGTCTATAGAGTTGGGTAGGATTCTTCAAAGAAGGAGGATCAACATAGCGTGTGTCCAGGAGACCAGGTGGAAGGGTACTAAGGCATGTGATATTAACGGGTATAAACTTTGGTACTCTGGAGATGCTGGGGGCAAGAATGGGGTCGGTATATTAGTCGACAGAGATCTTAGGGAGCTAGTGGTCGAGGTTAGGAGGGTAAGCGATAGGGTGATGGCGGTTAAGCTTCTGGTTGGGGGGCTCACTTTGAATGTGATTAGTGCTTATGCTCCTCATATAGGTTTGGGCGAGGAGGTCAAGAGGCAATTTTGGGAGGACTTAGACGAGGTGGTGCGTCATATTCCATGCATCGAGATGGTTTTCATTGAAGGGGATTTCAATGGCCATATCGGGGCTAATGCCGGGGGTTACGATGATGTGCATGGAGGGTTCGGTTTTGGAGATAGGAACGAGGCAGGTACTTTGCTGTTAGATTTCGCTAGAGCTTTTTATTTGGTGGTAGTTAACTCGAGTTTTCCAAAGAGAGAGGAGCACCTGGTCACTTTCCGGAGTACGGTGGCCAGGACCTAGATAGACTACCTTCTCTGCAGGAAATGTGATAGAGGTCTTTGCATGGATTGCAAGGTCATCCCTAGTGAGTGTCTCACGACCCAACATAGACTCCTAGTTACGGATCTGGGATCAGGAGGAACAGAAAGAAGAGAGCAGTGTGCAGTCAACCTAGAGTCAAGTGGGGAAACTTGACTAAGGATAAAGCCCAAAAGTTAGGGGAGAGGTTGCTGGCGATGGGGGCCTGGAAGAGTAGTAGGGACACGACTGCGATATGGGCCATGATAGCGAACTGCATTAGGGAAGCTTCGAGAAAGGTTTTAGGGGTTACAAAGGGATACCCTGGGAGACGTATAGGGGATTGGTGGTGGAATACGGAGGTCCAAGGTAAAGTTGAAGTTAAGAAAGCAGCTTATTTGAAACTAGTGGAGAGCACGAATGAGGAGGAGAAGAGGACGAATTGGGAATGTTATAAGAAGGCAAAGAAAGAGGCGAAGTTAGCGGTTATGGCGGCTAAGACTGCGGCCTTTGGACGCATGTATGCGGAGCTTGGGAGCAAAGGCGGGGACAAGAAATTGTACATGCTAGCCAAAGTGAGGGAGAGGAAGGCTCGTGACTTGGACCAAGTAAAGTGCATCAAAGACGAAGACGGCAGGGTATTGATGGAAGACACCATATTAGACAAAGATGGCAGACATACTTCCACAAATTGTTGAACATGGAGGGGACAGAAGCATTGTGCTAGGTGAGTTGGAGCACTCTGAGAGTCTGCGTGATTTCGGCTATTGTAGGCGTATTAAGGTCGAAGAGGTTATGGGAGCGATGCGTAAGATGAGCAGGGGAAGAGCGACTGGGCCAGACGAGATCCCGGTAGAATTTTAGAAGAGTGTGGGTCGTGCAGGCATGGAGTGGCTTACTGGGTTGTTTAATGTTAATTTTAAGACGAAGAAGATGCCCAAAGAATGGAGGTGGAGTACGATGATTCCTTTGTGCAAGAACAAGGGTGACATCCAAAACTGCAATAAGGTGAGCTAATCAATATCAAATATGAAAGGGAAATCGTTAAATTATTCAATTAGATAATAATTGAATAATTTAAGAATAATTGAATTCTTTTTTCAAGTTGATTCAAATTATTCGAACGTTTGGGGTATCAAGCTGCTGAGTCATACTATGAAGATTTGGGAGAGGGTGGTGGAAGTCAGGGTGAGGAAGAGTGTGTCTATTTCCGAAAATCAGTTTGGATTTATGCCGGGGCGATTGATTACTGAAGCTATTCATCTGGTGAGGATATTGGTAGAGAAGTATAGGGAGAGAAAGAAGGACATACGCATGGTGTTTATAGACCTAGAAAAGGCGTACGATAAAGTTTCGAGGGAGGTTCTGTGGAGATGTTGGAGGTTAGTAGCATTCCGGTAGCTTACACTAGTGTAATCAAGGACATGTATGATGGTGCTAAGACTCAGGTAAGAAAAATTGGAGGAGACTCAGATCACTTCCCGGTAGTGATGGGGTTGCACTAGGGATCGACTCTCAGCCCGTTCTTATTTTCTCTAGCGATGGATGTGCTAACGCGACACATTCAAGGGGAGGTGCCATGGTGCATGTTATTTGCCGATGACATAGTACTGATTGATGAGACGAGGAGTGGGGTCAATGCGAGGCTGGAGGTCTAGAGGCAGACCCTAGAGTCTAAGGGTTTCAAGTTGAGCAGGACCAAAACAGAATACTTGGAGTGTAAGTTCAGTGACGAGACTCATGAAGCGGATGTGGATGTGAAGCTTGATACCTAAGTCATCCCGAGGAGGGGTAGTTTCAAGTATCTCGGGTCTATAATCCAGGGTAACGGGGAGATTGATGATGAGGTCTCCCACCGTATTGGTGAAGGGTGGATGAAATGGAGGCTTGCATCTGGTGTTTTGTGTGATAAGAAGGTGCCACCAAGACTCAAGGGTAAGTTTTACAGAGTGGTGGTTAGACCTACTATGTTGTATGGGGCTGAGTGTTGGCCAGTCAAGAATTCCCATGTTCAGAGGATGAAAGTAGCAGAAATGAGGATGCTGAGATGGATGTGTGAGCATACCAGGAGAGATAAGATTAGGAACGAAGTTATTCGAGACAAAGTGGGAGTGGCTCCCGTGGAGGACAAGATGAGGGAGTTGAAGTTGAGATGGTTCGGGCACGTGCAGAGGAGGAGTACGGATGCCCCTGTTAGGAGGTGTGAGAGGTTAGCCGTGGGTCTGAGAAGGGGTAGAGGAAGGCCAAAGAAGTATTGGGGAGAGGTGATTAGGCAAGATATGGCGCTACTTCAGCTCACTGAGGACATGATCCAGGATAGAAGGGCGTGGAGGTCGAAGATTAGGATAGTTGGCTAGTAGGTAGTCGAGAGCTCCTCGTTCTTTTTTAGTGGTATTAGTAGCTCCTTTTTTTTTCGTTCGCTCTGTATATCATATGTTCTAGTTTGCAATTGTTTGATGCTATTCTCTGTTACTGGTTTCATTGTTGTTGTTGTTGTTGTTATTGTTGTTATTATAGTTGTCTTTCTCCCCTTTTCCTTATCGTCCTTCGTCCCTCTATATTTTCTTTCTTGTTCCTCTTTCTCCTTCGTCTTCTTCCTTTCTCTCTTTTCACCTTTTCTTGAGCTGAGGATCTATTGGAAACAGTCTCTCTACCTCGTCAGGTAGGGGTAAGGTCTGCATACACACTACCCTCCCCAGAACCCACTTGTGAAATTATACTGGTATGTTGTTGTTGTTGTTATTGCCCTTTAATTTTTTCTCACTTAAATTGATAAAAGTTGTTTGAATATGTAAAAGTGTTTTACTGAAAAATATGAGAGATGCGTAAAGAAAGAAATGAAAGGAAAAGAAAAAGAGGGGAAAATAATGTATCAAGTGTAAATAAAGAAATGAAAGGAAAAGAGAGGAAAGTTATGGAAGAAGACGAAGAAGAAAGCAGAATATGTTGTAACAGGAATGGAAAAAAGAATGGAGAAGAAAGCTGATGCAACAAGGATGGAGAAAAGAAAAAGATAGTATGTTGTAGGGGGGGGGGGTAATTTCGAAATTAAGAAAAATTATAAGGGATAAGAATGTAATATACTTGGTCAAAGCAATATGGCTTTTAAGCCAATTTTGAAAAAATTGGGTTTTCCAACTTATAGCAGATTTAACTTTTTTTAAACCATTTTTTTTGATTGCCCAACACTTTCACAAGTTAAAAAGTGCTTAAAAGCTGGTCAACAGGCTCTAACATCCCTACCCCCTACTATGATTTCAGTCTCTCTGCTAACCTGCGCCGGTAGTCGTCAATGGTACCTCCTCTATTTTTTAATATTATTTATTTATAACGCCTATAAATATCCAGAATTTACTGTTAAACCTTAAACTTTTGCCTTTTCAGTGCACCTGCAACTTCTTTATTTGGGTGATCTGCACAATTAAAATAGTTATGTGTTACTATTTAAGTTTTCTTCCTGCTTAGACAATTTAAGCGAAAATAGCTTTTTAAACTTTATGAAAAAATCTTTATTAAAGTACCCTCCGCCTATTAGTTGTTCCCAAGAGAAAGGTCCATAATTTTTTATTGAGGTATGTGATTGTTGGTGGACGGACTTTAGGGAAATGATGCTAATGAAAATTTTGGTGATGATGACTGATGACATATCATGATGAGTTAGATTTGATGATAATAAATAATCTTGAAGTTTCCCATTTTGGCTAAATACAGGGACAACCACCTAAAGTTAGAGTTATTTTAAATTTTAACACTTAAACTAAGGTTGTTTCTTACTAACACCTAAAGTATGTTAGAATCGTACCTATTGAACACCTCAATGTTAAGCATTCAAAATAATATTGTACGTGCATTTAATACGTTGATGAAGTGGCATACTGATGAATGAAATTAAAACATATGGCATTTGAATACAAATATTATTAGAAATGCGTTTTGAGCCAAAATTAGAATTATGAATAAACCTCCCTCCCCTAGGTCGTCCCAATTGACTCTCTTCCTTTTCCCAATTCTTCTTTTCTTCATTCCTTCTGTATGCAGGTAAAACCAAGCCCGTTGAACACCTCTGTTTTCTGGTGACGCAAACGGAGCAGGTACGTGATCGTAAGGAATTAGAATCAGGGCGAGGAGTCCCTCGTATCGGGGTTCGAGCAAAACACCTGCCCTCAGAGGCATCGGGACCACGTCCTCCAGGTCTCGTTCGAGTCCCAAAACTTCGGAGATCATTGCCAAACAACCGCACACGACTAACAAAGGGTCGTGATATCCGTGCCCAATCGGATCACAACAAATCTCGGCCAGTGTCAACGATGGATTAGTGATTGGCGAAAAGAGTGATTTTACCCTTTATTAGAATTGTACTTAAGGTAAAACTCCCCTACTATATAAAAGGGAAAACTAACTAATTCATTAGACACATTGTAACACGCATACCAAGGCAATATACTTCTATTTCTGAAAGCTATTCAAAGTCTTTGTCCTGTTCATAAATTCTTCACAAGTGTAAGCTCGGAACCGAAGGCAAGTCCCTTGTTAAGCCTTTAGTCGAGCCCTGATTCATTCTTATCATTGGTTTGGTCATTTATTACGTCTTTTATTTGTTTAATCTAACTTCATTGATTACTTGTATTGAATTAACCCACATATCATTTAAATCGCGTATAAATTTTATTGTTATCCATTTTTAGAGTAAACAATTTGGCACCCACCATGAGGCTAAGGATAATAGTGACAATATGATACAAATTTCAATAACACACTCTGCTTTATGCTTGTTCTTTGAGATTTTACTTTCAGGTAAATTTAAGAATGTCAAACTCTCAATCTGCTCACTTGAATGTTGATGCTGAATCTGGCCACCATGGCGAGAACAACAATATGGTACCCAGCAACGCGGATCTCGTGTTGACCGCAACAGAGTCCCGGTCGCGGACCTAATCGACGCCATCTCACATGTGGCCGTTTGATGGTAGGCTATAATCTCGTGTTTTAGTTGTTCATTGCAC